AACGCGTCCTGCAAGGGCCCCACATTACCCGGGACCTTCAGAGATCTCTGCAATTTTTCAGCGTAGGGGTGGCCAATCTGCAGCATGTCTGCCACAAGTGCCACAGGCAGCTGTGTTGTGGGGTACTCATAAGCTTGGGGAGGTGAAAAGGCAGCACAGCAGCAGACAGGACAGGAAGCAAAAAGCAGAGCAGCAGATCAAGTCAGGGAAGGGGACTGGAGCGGCTCAATTTGTAGCATGCCTGCCAAAAAGGGTAGCCCCCACTGCTTTAAAGTACTATGAGAGTCTCTGCTTCCAAAAAGAGCAGACAAATTGATTTAACAAGGGTGAAAAACATGTACTGCAACATTATCTCCATGTCAGAAACCACAGGATTGTGGTCAGAACTCAAGACAAAGGGACATGAACTCTAGTTCTGAACCCAGAGCAACTGTCTCTCTGACCTCACTTTGTGCAGAATGCAAGTAACTTTATTTGCATTACCTACCATGAAACACATTAAATATTTAACTATTTCTCTTGTGTGTATTAAACAACTAGTTTGAAGCCATTTCTTAAAACCTTTTAAGTCAATAACGTGAGTATTAAACAGTGGTCTGAGAAACAGCCTTAGAAGAATTAGTACTTGCATCACTTGTACATTTAAAAGATGGTGGTGGACAGAGTGGAGGACTGGAAGGGAGAAGCTTGTTCAGAAAATATTTTACTATACTGAAGTCTTAGTATCTTGAGATTGATTCTAAAAGCAAACAGCTAGAAAACCTTACTCTCAAATACATTTTATGATCACAATCAAATGAAATACTACCTGAAATAGCGTAGTCTCCATTTGGTGATGCCACAGTGATTGCTGATGCATTGCCAATGCTCTCTACTGGCCCCAGGCCCACATGATTACTGAAACTCAAAACGTGCCATCCCATAACTTTAGCGAGCTGCTGAACTGCATGGACTTGATGCTGGGACATCTAAAAGAATACAGAGGTTTATGGTGTTTTTCCTTTGTGCCTTGCAATGGATATCATATGTTTAGTTTTCCCTAGCTTCCATTTCTTTTTCCTGGTCTATATTAGGTTATTTAAATGCTTTTTTCCCCACTGAGACTTAATCATACAAAAATTCATATGATACCAACTAGAAATGTTTTTGTCCAAGTCTACACTAGCTCATTTGTGAACAGAGAGCTGAACAGATGTATGAACCTTTTACAGATACATGGGTTTGTGAGTTTTTAAAGATCAATTAGCATAGATCTCTAGAATCACTAAAACTGTAAGTGTAAGATTACACATCTAATTAAGGAGAGACTAAAATTAATTATTAGAGAGACAATTTCTTCTATAAAACAATCGCAGAAAGGGCTCCAGAAAAACCAATAGGAAACAATATTACAGGGCAATTGGAAAGACACAAGCTGGGCTTTGGCACAATGCAGAGATCATCACACTTTCTACTTGGGACTTACATTCCAATGGAAGGTAGGGCAATTGCTTGGAAGAGCTTAAATGTAGTGATTTAACAGTTGGAAGCAAGGAGGTATTAGTGCTAGACAGCCAGCCAGCTCTCCATGGAGGAGTTTGAAAACCATCTGGCTAGGGAAAGCAATAGCTTCCATAAAATCGATTTTAACTCCCTGTCAGAGTTCCACATAATTCAAATCAGGCAAAACTAATTCAGAATACTCTGCTGATCAAATGCCTGCATCTACGCTACGTAGAATGCACTACTAGAAACACTGCTGCTGCTGAAACAAAACAAAACCTTGTTCTAAACAATTCAGAAACCATACTTCATTCAAATGCCAATTATTGGGTAATATCAGATACAAAGCTGGAAACTCTGTGTCAATGTTGAAAGTGACAGCAGTTATAGGCATGTGAACTATAAAGATTCTCTGCCCCTAACAGGATATGGTTAGCTTAGCAGACATGGTGAGAACTATGTCAGATGCTTAGTGTGAGGTTTCTAGCAAGCACAGCATACTGACAGTTCACATGATAGGCAACACATACTTTGCAACTAAGTATATTTCAAATTAATTGTGTGCCACTGGTACTTCTGAACCTGGCTACAGTGTGATGCCATTTTTGGAATCAGTTGCCACAGCTGACATACAGGTGTTTCTTGAAGAATTTAATCAACCATGAGAAGCCTGGAATATAAATCTTCTTCTACAGTTCTCCATTCTACGCATGTATGGTTCTTTGAGTAGATGTGATATCTTTTATTAGACCA